GGGCATGAGGGAATGCTCACCACGTAGAGCTGCTTCCAGATGCCGCCCCACTCCCACAGCGTGGCCGCCACCTCCTGAGCCAGCGGGGTCTCCGTGGGAGCCACGCTCTCCGAGTGTCTGGAGGGAGAGGCCACCGTGAGATGCGGCAGCGCAGAGAGGCCGCCCCAGACCCCGCACCGGCCAGGGCCTCCGCGCCCAGGGTCCCCCACTCCTCCCCCAGCTCCCACGCCAACCGCAGCCCAGTGGGGGACGCGGGGAAGACTGGGGGCAGCGCTGGGCACACAGCACTGGCTGGCAAAGCACAGCCAGCTAAGAGGGCACCGGGGCGGAGCGGGCTCAGGGTGGGGGGCACATACCCCCCTCTCTCCACCGTGGCCTCCTTGATGTGGATGAAGGACCTGGGGAAGATGCCCTGCGGGGAAACCCAGGGTGAGCAAGGCCCGGCCGCCGTCACGCGCGGACGAGGGACGCCCACAGGAGGAGAAAGGAGACAGAGCGCCAGAGAGGCCACAGCCGGGAGGCCGGGAGGCGGGCGGGGAGGGCGGGGTGCAGGCAGGGCCGGAGCACCCAGGGCACCCCAGGAGGACCGAGAGGCGGGCTGCCCCCGCGCTCACACGCCCAGCTTACCTGCGACAGTTTGTGCTTTAGGAGATAGCCCCGGAACCAGTCTGCGAAGAGGAAACACGGGCGTGGGAGGAGCGGGCAGGGTCTCTCCTCTAGACTTTGTGTGCAGCTGGGCAGTGGGCGTGCGTGTGTGTGTGTGTGTGCGTGTGTGTGCGTGCATGTGCGTGTGCACACACAAGCTCCCGCACCAGCTCTGAGAGCCATCCCTTAGCTTTTTTGGCACAAGCCTGGGGCTCTGCCACCCGAGCCACGCCTCCATTTCTGGCTTGTTGATCGTGCGTTGGAGGTAAGAGTCTGATGGGCTTTTCTGGCCAGCCTGGCTTCCAACGGTGATGCTCAGCTCTCAGCCTCCTGAGTAGCTGGGCTTACAGGCATGAGCTACAGGTGCCTGCCCACCGCCCACCAGCGAGGGGCCACAGGTCTGTGGATGTAGGGCTGTGGTGCTCTCGGAGCCTCGCAGCCGCCTCTAGAAGCAGCCAGAAGCCCAGGTGCACCAGGGCGCTGCGGATGCGTGGCAAAGCCTCCCCCCCAGCCCAGCCAGGCCTCCGTGGGGAAGCGCAGACTCTCAGGGAGGAAGTGAGCGCTGATGGCCGTGCCGCATGCCAGCCTGCATGCAGGCTGCAGATTCTCGGCCAGCGCGTGAGGCCCTTGGGCTCGGGGAGCTGCGGGCACCGTGGTCTGGGAAGATCACGGTGCCGGTGTCCGTACACGGTCGTGGGATGGGGGGGTGCGTGGGCCGTGGCTCACCTCCGCAGGTCTCCTGTATCCGCACCACATCGCCGATCTGCAGGGAGAGCTGCGGCGCCCGGCCGCCCTGGAAGTTGGAGATGGCTGCGGAGAGAGGGGAGAGAGGTATGAGGCCCCCGAACCCCAGACCCGGGTGCTTCCCACCGACCCACAGCCGTGGCCCAGTGCCCGGGGCCTCTGCTCACACCCCGAGCCTGACCTCCCCGCAGGGACCCCACACGGCCTCCCTCGGGCCCAGGAGCCACCCATCCCAGCCGCACAGAAGACGCGGAGCCAGCGACAAATCCAACAACGTGGCCAGGAAGTGGGGGGCGGGGGACTCCCTGAGTGCCCACCCCAGCTGTGCCCCCCACCACGCCGGCCCTCTGATGTCCCCGCCGGCCGGCCTGTCCCTCTCTGCTCAGCCCAACCTGCTTCTATCCCACCCAAGCCAACCCTGGTTCCTCCACCCAAGCAGAATCCTGAGTCAGGTGTCCTCCCTAGGCGCCCGGGACCAGAGACGCTCAAGTCATAAAGTACGGAAATAGTCGACGGCTCCCAACAGAGGAACCAAGGCAATCCAGGCAGAGGGTGGAATACCACTCAGCCAGGAAAAGGAAGGAAGAGTGAACCGTAGGATGGTGTGGATGGGACTGGCAGGCATGGTATACTCCATTCCACTTAGATGAAGACGGGAAGAGGAGACTCCAGAGATGCAGAGCAGCCCCATGGCTTCCCCACGAGGGAGAGGGCTAGGGAGGGACTTTTTTTTTTTTAATTTTGTAGATCCAATGGTGTGTTGTGGAGTAGCGAATCGTCTCCGGCTAGGAAACATGGACGGTTTTGTCTTTCAATGTGTTCCATGGCTCCAAACTGTGCGCTGCATTTTAAACTAATTAATCAACCATTACTAGTTTTTTGGTCAGGGCTGAGGGTTCGAGGCCAGGGCCTCACGCCGCCAGCCTGGAGGCACGCCTCTAGCGCTTTCGCCGCTGGCTATTTTAGGGTCTCACTTCCAGATGTGGGCCTGGGCCTCGCTCGGCCTGCTGTAGGCTTCCCGCCCTCTCAGGGATTGCAGGCGGACCCCGGGGCGTCCACCAAGACGGAGGGTGTCCCCTGGGCCAGCTGGGCCCTGCGTCCTTCCCGAGGGGCAGGGAAATGCTGCCACCCCTCGGACCTTAATCCTCCTGGCTCAGCCCCCCAGGCAGCTAGGATGACAGGTGTGAGCCACCCACCCAGCCCAGCCTGGGAACTGGGCACCTCAAGATGGCCGCTGTAGAATGTAACATCCCGTTGGGAGCCTCGGGCATCTTAGAGACACAGCCCTGAAGTTAAAGACCAAAGGCCCCTCAGTCAACTAGGAATAAAGTAATCCTCTTTTAAGAGGGATCCCCACAGAGCCCTGGGCCAGGGCAGGCACTCTACCCCACCCCACCGGCCCCGCCCCGTGGAGGTTCCCGCCCCCTCTCCTGCCTTCCCCGCCCCACAGCCTGCCTCCACCTCCCTGCTTTTGGCCTGGTTTCAGGACTTCTTCCCAGCTCCCTGCTGTCCCTGGTGCACCGGGCAGATTTCAGTCAGAGGTTAGCCTGTGGACTTGGCCTGGTATCCAACAGGGTTCAGCAGGACACCTCCCAGGGTCCAGAACCGGAGGCAGGGCTGGCTTGGGCCCTGGGGGCGGGGCTCTGCGTTCAGTCCCCTCCCCCCACCTCTCTCCTGGGTGTCTCCCCCAGCAGCGTCCCCCCCAACGCCAGGCGGGAGGGCTCCCCAGGGCCCAAGCTGGAAGTCAGGGAGGGAGAAGGGGGGCGGGTTTGACTTCAGCCTCTGACCCGGGGCCTCCGTTCCCAGGCCTCTG